TTTGAATTTTACATGAATTATCAACAGCAGTGACCCCTTGAATGACCAGCCTGTTTTGAAAGGGACTGAAACACAACTAAAATGTATTCAGAATTTTCTGAAAGGCATAGGTTGGTGCGGGTGGTCGGAGGGCGCCACTGGTAGTACCTACTTCTTTTCTTTCCCTCTGTTGTTGCAATCTTTCTTGCTTCTTCCCTGCACTATATCTTAAATAAACAAACAAACTAAGTGTAGGTTGCTGTGTATGGATTTATTAGTGCTTTTTTGGGGTTTTTTTTGCTAGAGGTGGATTAGCATAGTTAGTGTCAGAGAGGCAGTTAATGGTGAAAGGAGAGGGAAGGAGGGAGGCAGGGAGGGAAAGAGAGGAAGGGAAAGAGAGGGAGGGAAAGTGAAGAAGAGAGGGGCGGAGAGGAGGGAGAGAGAGATTTCTGTTTTATTTTGTGCCCCCCCCCTCCCAAACAAAGGCCAGACACAAGAAAAGATGTGAAGGTCTACTTATGTTCTAAGCCTTACATGTACACACACCCGTGTTTCCTCATAAGCTCTTACGCCCTGCCTCTTTATCGTTCTTTGATTTGTATGTGGCATCTGTAAGGTATTGTGGGGGAACTTAATTATGTTAACTCTTCCCAGTTCACAAAGTCACTGTCCTGTTTGTTAAGATATTGGTATCACCATTTTATATTTTATGCTAATTCCAATTATTATATCATAAGTATTTTTTAGTTCTGTATACATATATTTTTTATATATAATGTTGAACACTTTGATGAGACTAATGTTTTGTACCCCTGCACTTCGGGCACGTGCTGTCACAGTCAGAGTTTTTTCTCCTCAGAACTGTGTGTGCACTTGCGTACTCACGTAAATGTGTCTGGAAATAGGCGTCCGCACATTATTTTTTTTGTTTTTGTAGAGCATTAAGTATGTAGAATTACACATATGCACACCCATGTTCAGGTGTGCATGCACATGCGCACACACACGCACACACGCGCGCACACGCACATATATACCATCACACAGACTCACACACACACACACACACACACGTACACACGTACACACACTCACACACACACACACA